ACGAAAATATAACGCGGAAAAATAAGACGAGCAATAAAACCGTAGCACGGATCCTAATTCCTAAATTTCGTAAAAGTATTACTTCCGGACTTCCGTACCTCTTCTATTTTTACGTGCGCAAAGCATCGGCTCAAAGTTGCATAGTGGCGTTATCTCTCGTTAAAACACGATACTGTCTATCAAGAGGTATAAATCGATTAACGATCGAAAACGATAAAAACAGAGAGAGAGAGAGAGAGAGAACATTATTTAATATTAGTATAATATTTACATTCCAAAAAGATATCCCAGATAACCATAATTTGTGAATGTGTAGCACGATTATATCAACCAAGTATCGATTTATCATCTGGAGTTGAAAAGTGGACATATTACCCTCAGAGTTATGTAATTTACATCCATTTTGTCAGAGGGCAGTAGTGCGCGGCAGCATTTTGCGGTTACAGGTTTTGGGCCGGCATGTTCTCTCTCAGGTTTCTCTACGCCTACGGTATTCCGATATTGTCATGCTAGTACTACTTTGAACTTGAACTGCTTGAACACAATGTGATATAATGTTTGTGCATAAACGAGATTTTTTTCTAAATTACACTAACATCGGCGAACGTGAGCAAGTCGCAATAAATATAAATTTCGTCTGGTCGGATTCACCGTTGTTTTATCGGCGAGCGCCATACCATATCAGAAGAAGAAGAAAAGACAAATTTCGTACGCGTGTAATTGAAGTAACCTCCTTTGATTAGTCATTCGCTTGGTAAGGATTTTTTGTCATCTGTTGTATTTAAAAAAGAAGTCCGAGATATGGCTGGTACCATGAGACAGTTGGAGGAGCGTCAGCTCCCTGCAGAGGTGACGACGATGCTGTGGTCACCGAAGATGGATCTTTTAGCAATTAGCAATGTCAAAGGTTAGATTTAAAAGCTAATATTGTAAAGGTATTGTTTAACGTTAATATTTATTTTCCTCTTTTTTTATAATTGTTCATAAAAAAAAACAATTACTTGATTTAATTTTAACTTACAAGGGAACACCAGGTGACTGTATCGGGGATTTTGATGCATATTTTACAGGCTGTTGAACGAAAAAAAAAACGATACATGTTTAGACATTTCAGCCATTAGTTTCGAAGAAATCGATTTTTTAAATAATTATTGTAATAATTTTAAAAACATACTGTATAGAGAGGAAAATATCAGTGTCTTTATAAATCAGTATCTTTATAACAATAATTATCTTATAATAATAGAAAACTAATTTATGCAAAGAACTGTCGATGTGAGAGGATGTCATTAAAAACCATTTGATAATTCATCATCAATTGTCATCTCTTGCAGTTTTCACACCGATAAAATAATATGCTTGGTTCTTATCAAATTTGATTCCTGAAAAGAGCTATTTCCATAATATTAATCAAATTTACTTTCCTCCAGATATTAGAAGAAGTTATTGTGTCTACAACAAAAATTCATTTGAAAGGTGTTCACAATGCAATAAATATTTATTACATTGTGAACAATTTTTTTTTATGATTTTCTTGTTTTTATGATTTATATCATCCCGTATGTACAATATACATCTACAAAACACAATTAGTTTTATATTATTAATAAATCGATTAATATTAATGAAAAGAAGATTACAAACATATGACTTACTTGTTCCTAATCACAATTTCCAATTTCTAATTTCATCAGAAACTGTAATAGTTTTCATTACAATCTTATTTATGTGTTCATGTGAATAACAGCGACAATAATGATGATAATATTTCATAAATGAGTGTTTAATTATTTAGAATATTAATTTGTAATTTCATTAAATTTGATTACAATCAAAAAGTAATTAAAATCAATAACATTGAATTAAAATGAAATTTATTTAAAGAACTTATATTTTCCTATACAATACGTTTTTAAAATTATTACAATAATTATTTAAAAAATCAATTCGAAACGATGGGCTAATGGCTGAAATGGCTGGACATGTATCGTTTTTTTTTTGTTCAAGAACAATCTATAAAAAGCGCATCAAAATCCCTGACTTTTTTAGTACTGTATTTTCTTATTTTTATCATGAGAAAATATGATATAAAAAATTCTTGATGTTCCCTTTGTTAGATATTTAACGAATATTAATGAAAGAATTAAAAAAAGACTGTTAGCCACAATGTAAAATTTGATAGGTGAAGTCGTCCTTCATAGACTCACATGGCAAAGAGTATGGTTGTTGAGTCCTCAAGACGAATCTGATATCACTGCTCATTTGGCATGGAGACCAGATGGAAAGCTGCTTGCAGTATGCTATGAGATTTCCAAGCTGTTGTGTCTTGTTGACGTTGAGACTAAAAATATCATTCACAAAACTAAATTGTCTACAAACGAATTGACTGTTTGTGTTAAGTGGTTGCCGCTGTCTAATTCTGAACATGAAGGTTCATTAACAAATGATAAAACTAATAAACCTACAGGCGAATATCTGCCATCTCTGCCTAGTTTAATCAGAAGTTATAGCGCAGAACCTGAGCGGAAAGAATTTCTGTCTCACATTCTGGATATGCTCTTTGTAAATATCATAAAACACAATCCTAATAGACATAACATTTGTAACTTTATGATTAATAGCTATATGTATTTTTTATAGATTGGTCAAAAAGATGGCACGGCATTAATGTATATTTTTGGCATGTTTTATTGTGGCACTATAACTATAGGTCATGGACCAATCTTGCAGATCACAGGTGGATCTAATAACCCGATATGGATCACGTGGAAGGATAATAATTGTATTAAGACAACTAGAGTATCTTGTCCATTATTTGAGAAAATAGAGTTTCTCAAGGTATCTTGAGAGTGACACACACGCACATACATATGTTGCAAGTAACATATTCGTAGTAAAGATTTAAAGCAAAAGGCATTATTTTCTTAAGTATTATGCATAATAATTTAAAATTTGTTAAAATAAACATTAAGTTAATTTATATATTTTATTCTCAGGTTGCGCAAACTCAAGCCAACATAGAATGTTTGAAAGATTATCTCTCACGAACCTTAATGGCTACTTGCGAAGCTTGGGAGACAATACTCTTGGAAATGGATGAAAAACTCGCACGATATGCAGAAGCAAACCCACCTGGTAGTATGTCTGCAGACTTTTTAGAACTATTAATGATCGGAATACCTACGAAAAATTTAGAAACTTTTCTACTTAGAGATCTCACAGAGAAAGGATTAAAAAAATTCGGACATAGTATTGAAATGTGTTACAGTAATATTCAAGTATGTTGAGAAATATTACTTTTTTTAGTTTAATTATGTATATCATAGTTTAGAATGTAGATTATTTTCAGAAACTAGTCTCGAAAAATTTAACTAGTGTTGGTATGGCCTTGGTTTATCAATTAGCTGAATTGAGAGGAATGGTGAGAGTAGGTGACACGTATGAAGCATTAGGACTACGTGATGAAACACTTATAACTAATGCCATTAATGAATCTGAAGCTTTCTTGGCAAAATCATATGAAATCGAACAAGTTATAGACCAGAGTATGCGCAATTATAAAGCATTTTTCCGGTACAAGTAAAAAATTGAATGATTAATTAACTTATTTATACTTAATAATTCATTTTTAATTTCTTATATTTATAGATGGTTGTACGTAGCCATTCTTCAACTAACGGATGAAAGAGCACCATCGGAAGTAAGTCGTGTAAGTCAGCAGGAATTAACATTTATAGCAGAATTTCTGAGTGACTTTGATAAGCCAAAAGCAAACGGTAGAGTAAATTTAGAAAAATTGGGTCAATATTTGCGTCATGAAAATCTGCAGACTCCCCTGACTTCGGAAGGAAGCGAATGGGCTACTATGCTCGATGCAAATGATTGCTTGCGCAATTATGCACATATAGTAAAGCAAAATTTTCATTTATCTTTATTACAGTCTCATGTAAAATTAGTTGCCGGTGTAGAAAATGTTTTTGCTGAATCCTATCAGAGCTTAGTTGACCACTTTGTGATGATCTCCATCTCTTTGCCATTATTTACATCTCTCATGTCTTCACAAACTGTAACAAGTGATGGAAATTTTTTGTTGGCTATGAATGAGACTGACAGTAAATTGTTAAGACTTTTTAACATAAAATATTCGTCTATAGACTCTATATCTCTTAGTTCAAAGATGATCACGTTAGATGTGAGTCAGAAGCAAGGTTAGTAGCTTAATTGTATTACATACAATTATAATATAATTAATGTTTCTCTATTACATTATAAAAATAATTAACTTTTCCGCGTATTTAGGAGAATGTTTAAAAGAAAACATCGATACTGTAATAGTAGATCTGCAATTTTACTCACAAGATTATCTTAGTTTGCTTATATTGAATAAACAAACTTATGCATCGTTTCTCATACAAATGCCATTACGTAGTATGCTTGAATATCAAGATAATGATGCAATAATATCGATAACTGAGATCATTGGTGCAACGTGGCCGAAACCATTTCAAGGAATATCTGCGAGACGACTAGCAGTCAGTGGTTCTCGAAAAGTAGCTGCTATTTTGAATGAAAATAATAGAAAGATTCGTTTACTCGAAACTGAAGCGGAACCTGAAGATGAGGAAGATGAAGAAGAGGAAGAAGGACGTTTTGTGGAAGGTATGATGGATACCACACCTAGTGCACATTTTTCTGCAGAAACAAAAACTAACGTACAAGAGTTCTACAAGGAAGAAAACTGAAGTAAAATATATTTAAGGTATGAATAACTTATATATGCAAACAGATTGATTATAAATAATAACATTTCGTGTAGTTGAAAATTTTGATTTATTTTAATTATTTCTCAAAATTGATTTTAAACTTATTTATTTTAAATAACTATATTTTGAATAAATTACAAGGTATATATTTCTAAAATATATGTATTGCAAAATATACACTTAAGAATAAAACACTAAAATAATGTAATTTCATGATATACACAATACGATTAAGATTTATGGTATTGCTTGCTCCTTCTGCATTTGTTTAAATACTTTAGGAAAATCAATGTCAAGAACAGCGTTATCTATTCCAACGTTCTCGACACGTGATGAAACACCAGGTGTATTATCTGATGTATAGCGTGCTGGAGAATTTTCTCTCGACTCCTCGAGATCTATAAAAATGATTATATATAAAAGATAATCATATTTTCAGTATAAAAGTGCATTTTCTTTCTATTCGTTAATTTTTATAAAAAATTACCAAAGAATCTTTGACTTCTTTTTTTCTTAACAGTAATAATTAGAAGAAGGACAGCTACACCAACCACTAATACCATAACAGCAGTCATTCCCCGTAACAAATTTGTCTGTTCAAATATACATTTTAATAAAATGCAGGCTTGTGATTATTCTTATGTATATGTACATATATGTATATATATATATATATAATGTATATTAAAATACCTCAAAATCATTTTCCCAAAGTTGCTCCCAATCGTTTGTAACTATTAATTCAATAGAATGAACTTTTAATTGAGAATCGTCAAATAGACCTTTTGAAAAACATTTATAAAATCCAGATTCTGCTGTTGATACACCCTAATTATAATTTTGATAATACATCTTATTAAATATTGACTGTTATTTAAAAGAGAAAAATTTTAAGAATATATGACATTTTGAAAACATACTCTAATTTGAAGCATGCCAGTCAGTACTTCATAATTATATTTCTTTTCATTTAAAGGATTCCCTGGACCAATAACATTGTTAGATCCAAATTGCCAGAACATGAAACGATGATGTTCATCAATACTTAAGCATGGGAGTTCAGCCAAGTGTCCAGCTAGCACTTCTTTCACTGTTACTATGTCATTTGCAGTTACGGATTTTTGTAATATAAATACTAAATAAAAAAGTATAAAAAACCACATTGTCACCTAAAAATCAATATTAAATATACTTGTATAAATTATTTCACAGTTAGAGAGAAAGAGAGAAAAACAATTTCTTCTTATATATAAAATTGTATGTGTATGTGTAAAAAAGTGAAAATATATCCAAGAAAATGTAAAAGTTGTATAGAAATACGTTTACTATATTCTGCCACACTCAATGTTAGCAAACTGTTAGATATCATTAATCTGTCTTCTTTCATTATTACATTCTAATTACATTTATCACCTTTTTTTCACAATTACTGCAAAACCAGTTTGTTGTTCATAGATGGTCACAATAATTATACACGATAAGACTTCTAAGTGAATGTTGTGTAATCATAAAAACAATTCTCTCTTCCTCTCTCTCTCTCTCTCTCTCTCTCTCTTACAAACAGTTGTTAACTTGCTTTTATTTTTTCTGTGCAATTAAATTCAGCGACAATAGCATTTATATAACTTATTAATTGTAAATTGGAAACACTTTCATTTACTGATGAGAAGATTGCTACAAGCACTGTCATGGAGTTACTTATTTTTAACTCTGTCCTATTCGGCCTTGTGCAATACTAAGTATTTATAGTAGACTAGATCTATACTTTACAATTGCTGTATGTTCTCAAATCCTGTGCTATAAATCAATTTAATCTTACCAAACAAAATTTTGCCTTATGTTTGAATAAATGAATGAATGAATGAAACAGATAAACAAATATAAAAAATATTTCTATATTTTATATTTAAATTAACGCATACAAAACAAACATACTTTATTATTCAATACAACAATGTTGGAATATAAATTGAATAATTTATAAAAATGTTTATCAAATAATTGATTATGTATATCAAGTAACAAAATAATTTTTTATTAATATATACACACCCTTAAATAACTCTAAATAAACGAATCCATCCATTATCAATATGTAGTTTGTAGCATTAAATGATAAATAACATCTATGGCTAATAATGGAAAAAGCAGCCAGAATGGTGCTAATACTGCTTTCGCTGGTAGAGACCAGTGAGGGGCCTCTAATTTTAAACAAATCAAAATCTGTGCACATAATTTCAAGATCACAGCTATCATGTATCGTGTCTGAAACAATTTTATTATACTGTACATTAAAATTTTGTTTTATTTAATCAACTAAAGATTTATATTGTTAGAAATATTTATTAATTATTATGTTTCTTTTCTTACATAAAATACTATTTTTTAAAAATAAATGTACGTAAAAAAAAATTAAATTAGAATAAAATATTTTCAATCGCAAAAGGATAAAAAAAAATTTTATTTTATTATAAAACACTTACTTCTCGCTTCAAACTAAAGTTACGTACATTCTTGCAGTACGAAATCATATTGAATACAATGTAAATAAGGAGAATGTTGTCGTAAAGCCACATTGGAATGAAAATTATGAACCAATTCCATTGTATTCTCTGATCAAGCCTCAAAACAAGTAAGATCAAGAATATGAGCAAATTGAACCAAGTGAACAAAGCGCGATGTAAAACCGCCATGAATTATTTAAATTAATTATATACACAATTTCTCATAAAACTCATTTGTATTGATAACTTTTGACAATTCTAACCTTTAGCGACAAATGCTCTACAGCCGCTACACTCTACAGATATTCTGTTTTATCGACGAGGTATTATCGACAGATGACAAATGTTTAACCTGTTATGATATCCTAATGGCTCCTGCACACTGGACGCGGAAACGTTTGCCGCGCGGCAAAATAAGACACGGTAACCAATGAATACATTAGGAGCTTATTGGCTACCGCATTACATTTTTCCGCGTGGTAAGCGTTTCCGCGTCCAGTGTGCAGAAGCCATATGTTCTTTAAATCGGGTTCACCATGCAACACTTCTAGAAATAATGTAATACTACTGTAAAATAATGTAATACTACTTTCGCTGCGCGGCAAAATTTGGATTGAGTTCAACTTTTGTTGCGCGGTGGAAATTATACATCTATTAGGTTGGGGTGATTCCCGATTGATCACGGCTCGATTGGACACCACCAATCACAGCGACCGGTGCTTAGGAGCTTTGTAGTCTCAAGTGCTGTGAATGGCTCGTGACCAATTGAGCCGTGTCCAACTGGGTGCCACCCAACCACAACAGCGAATAGCTTCTGATTGGTTACGCAATAGGCGTCGTCTACAATACACGGAGTAAGAAGGAAGAGTAAGAAATTGACCAATCACAGTCGAATGTGAGAAGAATAATCGACTGTAATTGGTCAATTTCTTACTCTTACTTCTTACTCCGTGTATTGTAGACGGGCCTATACGCGATAAATACACCTCATGAGACTCTAGCCTTACTTCCGATCAAGCGAGATGTTGATTGGCTGTCACGCCAACTTCCGCCGCGCGGCATCAAAACAGGATATTCTAGGGACGTTTTTAGGCTGCAGTCCACTTGATGCTCCAAACGCTTCGAAGCGCAGTTATAATAATAAGCGCAGTTATATATTTTTTCCTTACTCAATATAGAATTTGGTTTATTTATCAATATTAAAATATTTTTTTGGAATGGAGTTCCGAAAGGGTGAATCCTCTGATATTCTTGTCGCTTGACATACTACTGTATTTTGGTGTGCTGATTACGAATATAATAATGAAAATTGGCGACAAAGTAATTTTCAAGGTCAAATATTTAAAAACCGATTTTTTTCACATTCGTGTCAAGCGACAAGAAAAAATCGGAGGGTTCACCCTTTCAGAACTCTCTCTCTATCCTAATATTTATATATTATTACTTCTATCTTTTAACAAGTACAATAAATATACTGTATATGGTACATTTCTTTTAAATTTTTTCGCTCTACGTTTATTATCGTCGTGTATAGTCATATATGGCAAATACCCTTGAATGCATGACCTATAAATGCGTCAGAAGAATGCAATGCAACAAGAATGCAATGTCGAGGAATTCAGTTCGTAGGGTCACAGATAATTTAGAAAAAAAAGATCAGGATATTAAGCTTAGAACACAGGAATTTCGATTACGAAATACCTGGTATATCCTTGAACTGTCCAAGAAAAGTAAAGTCAGTTGTAATGTTCGTTATTATATCAACGGCCAATAGAATCATTCATATGAAGAAACGTCACTGTGAGATCATTAAACGACAGTCGCGTATCTCACGTGTATTATTACCACATGCTTCGTGGCCAGAGAGATTTTCGAAATATATAAAAGAAAAAAAAATTATAGAAACACAGGAGATAAAAATATAAGGAGAAAAAAGGAAGAAGAGAAATAGTTAGGAATTTATTTGCATTACACATTGATCATAATTTTTTAGCATATTATCAAATTGTTTTAAAATAATTAATACTTTAAATATTATCAAAATGCACGCTATAAAAAATAAAATAACCAAGATCGGCGTTGTTTAAACTGGCTTCGAAAAACACTTTGTCTTTCTTCGCGAAAAAATGCGAAAAGTGGGTGGAAGATATTGCAATCACATCACTGTCAATGATAACGATGTAATACGACGTAACTCGAGAAAACGCAAGTCTCTCACTCCTTATACGTCTCTCATAACGAATAAATCTGTTTGATTAATGGAACAACATATAACGTACGTCGAGCAATCCGTAAAAATTTTATGTGTGTATATGTGCGTCTTTCAATAAAACTGGAATAGAAAATATGAACGCAATAATTGTTTCTCAAGTACGTATAATATAATATATATTTTAGATCGATGGAGATAAATCATTACCTCGGAATACACTTTGCGCGATGTCACATGAAGCATACAATTGTGTTTTAAAAATTATCACGATATAAGCACAATGGAAAAAAAAGCTATATATAATGCACACAATTAAAATACAGCAATACTTACTGCGCGGCAATTTTTATATAATCCAAAGATAAGAAAAGAATTTATATTAAATATAGAATCGATAGGCTAATTGTTAACCATCTGATGTTTGTACTTCATATATGATAATCATTTATTGAGAATTATATCACTTTACATGGATAAACAAACTGTGACATTTAAAACAAAATAAATTTTTAATTATTTTAATGTATTCAGTTTCTTGGAGATCAAAGAAAGGAAAATAAACAAAATACAATTACGAATGCTTGTTAATTTATCGACGATTAGTTTATTAAAGTAGCATTTATGATATTTTATAAACGTACGGATAGAATTATCAATTTTTTATTGCTTAATGCAAGGAAAGAATAATCGGATTAAAGACGAATAAATTTATAATATAATTAGAAATGTTGCAAGGAATTCCGATAGTTAATCGGAATTTAATCCAAGTTGCTCTAAATAAACTAATATCTAATATCAGATATAACCCGGCATATGAACTAAGATAATTAAGTATTTCGAAAAAAGAAAAAGAAAGATGCAAAATATAGAACATGCAAGTAAAAAACAGCGTTAGATCTATAACGTTCGCATTCGTATTCTTCGCTGATTGTATGAAATTAGTGATAATGCATCGAGATATGTGTAACAGGTATTCAGTAAGACCCGGGGCAGTCTTTCGCGTGTCGATCAGCCGATGACAAAAGGGCACGTGTTTTCAGCGTAATAATATGTTGCTGCGAGTAATGTGGCTATAAATACCGTGTCTAATGTTCCTATTCCGAAAACGTGAGAAGCCGAGTCTATTTTAACGGATTGGAGCGAGTTCCGGAATCGGCGGTACTCGTCTCGTTGACCCTACAAACGGTAGACGGTACAGACGCCGGCGGGCGAACCATCGCCCTGGCGAAAGTCGATCTGCGATCTCGATCACGCGAGCTCGCGTCTATTTGCACCCATTCGCACCAAGCGTCTCCGAGCGACGAACGTCTCCGTAGTCCGTAGTACCTACAATTTTCTCCGCGCTGTCCTGCGCTATCCTTTAACCTCTCGGCCCACGTGCACCTTTAATCGCAATGTCGAATGTACGAACATTGGTAAGGCCCGCTTTGATCGATCCGATCTCGCGTACCATCATGCAAATCACGATATTGTTATGCGATTATTCCCACCGACAATCTGTACTTTGCACATAGGCGTGATGTTTTTTTTAAACGATGATTTAGTCAGAAAACTTTGATTTTAGAGATATTTCTCCCTAAAGCATCTTATTATAATTAATTATGTATAGATTGTTCTATTAAAAATTTTTGTGCAAATATTAATTTTTATATACATTATTTACTTGTATATTCTTAAAAACTTCATTTACAAAAATCTTAGAAATTTAATAGAATCTGTGCCTGTAGTACTTTTTAAGTGCGAAAGTAAAATTCATGTTTGTATTAAAAAGAAGATAAAATTTCATCAAAATTAAAACTAAGAATAAAATTAAAGAATAAAATTAAAAATAAGAATAATGTTATATGTGTTATGTATGTGTGTGTGTGTGTATTAAAATAAAATCTTATATTTCTAGATGTTACCAATTTTGGCTGCGGTAGGAACGATAGTTGTTATAGGAGTAGCATTTAAAATATATAAAACTTGGAATGAAAAGAAGAAAAAATCTGCACCAATATTACTGGTTGATCCAGTAGTTAAGTATAGTCTACCTTTAATTCAAAAAGACATAATAAGTCACGATACAAGGAAATTTAGATTTGGATTACCTACACCAAATCATGTCCTGGGTCTGCCAATTGGTCAGCATATACATTTAACAGCAAAAATTGGAGAAGAGGTTGTAATACGTTCATATACGCCTGTATCAAGTGATGATAATCGGGGCTACGTTGATCTGGTTATCAAGGTATAAAATGAGAATACAGAATTGGTGATAATGAAAGAAAATCTGTTTTCTTATTGTTTGTTTCAATATTGTGATTTATAGGTATACTTCAAAAATGTGCATCCAAAATTTCCTGAAGGAGGAAAAATGTCTCAATATTTGGAAAATATGAACATAGGGGATACTATTGACTTTAGAGGTCCCTCTGGTAGACTGGTTTACAAAGGACAAGGAAAAATTACTATAAAACTTCTTAGGAAGGAACCAGCCGTAGAATATAATGTTAAAAAGGCAAGTACATACATTTGCTGCTGTGTATACATATATATAATATAGAATATAATTTTATTTTGTTAATATTATCATTATTAACAACAGCCCTTACTGAAAAGATCATGTCACAGCGTTACATGACGAAATGATGCAATTAAAACATGTAAGTTACGTAATGGATTGTTCCAAATTAGTACGTGATTTTTTAAAATATCACGTAATTTAAAAAATTACATGATATTAAAAATAATTTCATCTATTATGTGATTTTATAGTTATCGAATTTTAAAGAATTGAATAATAGAAATAGAAGAAAAAAGAACATATTGTCATGTGATTTTTTAAATTATGTAATTTTAAAAAATTGCATACTGATTTGGAATACATTACGTGGTTTACATGTTTTAATTACATGATTTCAACATGCAACTGTGTGACGTGATTTTTTCAGTAGGGGCTCTTCTGTACATATGTTAATAACAAATTTATGTAAATTTGTACAGATGGTTATGCTCGCTGGTGGTACGGGCATCACGCCGATGCTGCAACTAATTCGTGCAATAATAAAAGATCCTACGGACGAAACTCAAACCTCTTTGTTGTTCGCCAATCAAACGGAAAAAGATATCTTATTACAAAACGAATTAGATGAAATCGCCAAGAAGTACCCGAATAAACTGAAACTTTGGTATACATTAGATTCAAGTAGCGATAAATGGCCTTACAGTACAGGATATATAAGCGCCGATATGATAGAAAAGCACATGTTTTTACCGTCACCTGACACTATCGTACTTATGTGCGGGCCACCTCCAATGATCAATTTCGCTTGTACTCCGAACCTTGATAAACTTGGCTACGATACTAAATTACGGTTCGCGTATTAATCAATTGATTATTAAAATCGTAGACAGTTTGCATTATCTGGTGGAAATTTATATACTTTTTTTTGAAGAAAGTATTCTTGAGTCAAGTTAAAGATTTGTTTTTTTGTTAATTGAATGTATAATCCGCTTTAATGAAGTATTTCAAATAACGTGGTTATGCTCCAATTAGAAAGGTTCGTATGTTGGAAGATTTCCATCAAAACTTATCCATAAAGACACCTGCAATAGAGTATTGATGACTATTATATAAGCATACAGTCGTAAACTTACAATAATCAATGAAATGCATCCACTAGTAGCTGTACCAGTAACCACAGCATAGTGTGACCACTTTCCGTGTAGTATAAGAATGTCAATCCACATAAAACATTTACAAGGCATGCCAGTCATATTCTTTTTTGCTTTTTTTTTTGTTACTGGAACAGGCTGTGATTGCTGAATAAATAAAATTCATAGAGCTTAATTTAAGAAAAATGGTCACAAATCAAATGCATGTAAAATGAATATTTACCTTATCACTAAAATATACTTTACTCAATCTTATATCTGTATGTTTATTATTATAAAAATGACTTGTGTATAAAACAAATGAATAAAGTATATTGCTAGTGTGTGTGAAATATTCATGTAAAGTATTGCATCTTAAAGCATTTATTAATATTGAATCTATTGTAACGTTACAAAAAATTTTGAAACTATACAGATGTGCTTCTTATTGTATAATACTTTATTTGTGAGAGATCGAGAAATGGAATATATAATTCATATATAAATGACAAAATGTTCAAAAAGTGGAATATATTCTCCTTACTATCATTAGTACATTAATATTATCAAATGCATTACCGTCAATGAGATTAACACAATATTTAATTAAACACATTAATTAATTTAAGAGGCCACATATGCATGAAAAATTGCAGACAATTATGAAATCAAAGCGAGAGTAAACATTTATTTTCTTCTTAATGAATGAATGAATTAACAACGTCCTCTGTCTTGCACGCGTTTTCTAGGAGCCGCGCGCAAAATATCGTCCACCCGAAGTATCATTTCTGCTGCTTCAGCCGCACTCACGAGAACTTGCCTCTTCACTACCCAAGATTCGGTAATTCCTAGTCGTTTCATACATCCAACTTTGCCCATTTCCATATCTGCAAGATTGGAGAACAAATTTAATTTAACTTCATATTTTGTCATGAAACTGTTTAGCGCACTCGCGCGCAATTTATTATATATTTAAAAATATTTTCAGCGATAAAAAGCATAAGAATTTGAAACTTACCTAATCCCATGGTGTTGCTCCCAGAATTATGCGCGGCTCTCAACTCGCTAACCAATTGTGCCGAATCATAGCCAGCGTTGTCGGCGATAATGGTTGGCAATTGCTGCAACGCTCGTGCAAAGGCTTCCATCGCAACAGCCTCTTTACCTGGCGTAGCCGCGGCCGCTCGCATAACAGCACAAGCCATAATCATCTCGCTGCACCCACCACCGTAAACTATTCTCGACTCGCGTACCGTAGCTGTTAAAACGCAGAGCGCGTCATGCAGCGATCTCTCGGCTTCGTCGATGATCTGTTGCGTTGCGCCACGAATAACAACGGTGCACGCTTCACCCAATGAAACTCCAGAGAATCTTAAGAGTGTATCTTCTCCTATCATGACCTGAAAAATATAACAACGCAATTGATATATAATTAAAGTTACAACAAAATTAATAATCACATGCACACGCACGCACGCACGCACGCACGCGCTAACACACACACACACACACACATTTGAATCGAGTGCTCCACCATATGGAATATTATATATGAATTACAAACGTAATTATAAATTTACCTGTTCAATAAGATTGCATTTTCCCAATTTGACTAAATCGGGATTGTCAAAAGTACTAACAATCTCGCCACCAGTAACGAGCGAAAGTCTTTCGATACCATCAAAATCAGCATGCTCGATAGCCATAATTCCGGCATCAGCAAATAATTGTTCCGGATAATTGTATATCAATTGCCTATTGATAAAGACGTTGCAACCATGCTTCAAAATTTTGTCAATCTTATCCTGTATAAATTCACAAAAGATTATTATATTAAACTTTATAAAGATGCGTGAAGAACTTTTAGAAAAGTCCATTACCTTCATTTTTTCTTTTTCCGCAGCTTCTAATTCTGCTATCTTCGCCATTGAATCTACACGTACTCTAGAGCCAAATACCTATAAATAAATAAATGCATATAACATTAGGTTTATTAAACAATTAAGAAAAATATACATAACAGAAGGAACATAAACCTTGATTTTATCAGTGTCCATAGATGTATTAGCGATAAGTATACGTGCGTCAGAAACTTTTTGTGGTTGGTGAACACCCGGTTTTTTATCTAATAAAAATCCTTCATCTAAGAAGGAATCAGCAAGTGTTGCACCACGTTTTTTTATAACTTGAATCGCAGACAAATTACCAGATCCTTTAAGACGCAACACTGCATCAACTGCAAGCTTGCTAAAGTGCTCCTTGTGCTGAGATAAAATCTTGGAACTTAATGTTGTACGAGCAATATTTAATAAATCCTCTCGAAATCGATCAGGATCTGCAGAATTGTCTGTGGCTGCATTTTTTAAAGCCTCAGTCGCTACATTTGTAGCATTTCTCCAACCACTAATGATAGTTTGTGGATGAATCTTCTGATTCTCGATTAGCTTCTCGGCTTCTCGCAAAAGTTCAGCAGCTGAAAAAAAAAAAGAAAATTAAAAATTATTAAAGATATTTAATAATATTTAAGATTAAATAATTTGCAAATTCAAGTGAGTAATCATATCATAAACAATTTATTACTGTCTATATATGCTGTCTGAAAGATGCATGTTTCTACATATCAGTTATTGTGAAGAATATTAAGGTCTCAGTCTAAAAGTTTAGGACGCTTCCACGGAATGCTAGAAATCTGGGTTCGGTAATATTTTTCGCAATAAATGTATTTACAGATTTTCAATATATTAATTACTTCTTAAAATGATGCCAATTAAACATAAAATTATTAAATTGCTAATCAATTTAATTTGTGATATTACTATGGTAATTCAGTTATGTTTCTACGTCTAGAAAACTAATTTGACTCGCAATTTGAGAGACTGCAAACGCGTCATAATATATAAATTCATATGAAATTATTTAAAAGCATTCAAGATTCAACTTTGACCAGTATAGGCATTGCTTCTTACTTAATCATATCATATTTACCGAGAACAGTGACTGAAGTGGTACCATCACCCACTTCATCATCTTGGACACGAGACATATCTACTAAAATCTTGGCAGCAGGATTATCAATGCCAATGCTTTTGAGGATAGTAGCACCATCATTAGTAACATGTACTTGTCCTAAGGATCTACCATGAGATACAAGTATCTTGTCCATGCCTTTAGGACCAAGAGTGGATTTGACCAGGTCTCCAATGGCTATAACTCCAACAAACGAGCTCAATCTAGCAATTTCTGCCTTCTCCTCTCCAGCATCATTTTTGAGGATCCGCACTGGATTTAAGGAGACCTTACAATCAGATAAGATACAACAATTTATTTAGTTGCTCATGATAGAATTTTTCATTTAAAATATAATCATAACCACTTTTAAAAGGTAACAACTACTTATGAGTACATGTGCGTGTCAGAGATTCAATAAATTTAAAAGCCAATCGAAAATCTTAGTGTCTACAAAATGCATCAGTCATTTATCAAGCAATTATTATTTATTCCTTTAACGACACGTGAGCCGTTTGTCATGCTTTCTGAAGACCGGGTTCTGGCCCGGTCACAAGAGAATCACTAGCATTTACTACATAAATGAGATTACTGGAGCGCGATAATTACCATGATGAGTCAATCGATAGTACGCAGATACTTTTCTCCAAAAAATCACACAAATTCGAAAATCTTCGATGCACGGTGACGGTCTAAATAGGAGACGTTTGCGATTCAGACATTCAGGGAGTTGCTGCCATGCTGCGTGAACCGTTTCTATGAAGCGATTGGTTTTTCCATCTGTCTGCGATTCGCTGCTTTTGGACATTAGGAAGTACAAGAACGAATTACAAATCCGATTGAGAAGACACATGCGCTATTAAACCAATCAAAAAGAATTTTGAACATGTAGGATACGTATTTAATGCGATACTCGTTTTATAGAGTTATATTCTGAATTTAATTCCTTTTAAGGTTCGATTTATATGCAATTAGTCAACTGATTTGCCACATAATTTTCTAGCAATAAAATATTAAATATATAATTACGTAAAAAAATGATATATAAAATATAAATTAAAAGAAACACAGAAAGTGTATAAATAAGAAAAATAAAAAAGGATAATTAAAAAAGTTGGATATATATATATATATATATATA